TGTTAGGTTGTGCGGTTTGTATGTCTATTGGCCAAATATGTCGAAACATTGAATCATACATTGGTCAATGTGCTGCATTTACTTACCAGGATGAAACAGAAGGAACTATATCAGCCATTAAAATACTGTCGTCCGTGGCAAACCATAGGATGTGACCTATTTGAATGTGAAGGTAAAGATTACCTCATACTTGCAGACTATTATTCAGACTACTTTGAGGTGGAAAGACTAGTAAAACAGGAAGTTCGATCATTCGCATGATGAAATCGCAATTTGCACGTCATGGAATTCCAGATCGATAATTCAGACTATGGACCGCCATTTGGAAGTCGAGAGTTTGCCGAGTTCAGTAAAAGTTACGAATTTGAGCACGTAACATCATCGCCCAGATATGCGCAATTAATGGCAAGGCGGAGAACTCTGTAAAGATTGCCAAACGACTTATTCACAAGTGTGTAATGGACGGAAAAGATCATTCTTGGCGCTCCTGGATCCGCAATACGCCTACTCAAGGAATAGGCTACTACCTGCACAACGAATCTTTTAGACGCACTAAGAAAATTACCAGTATTGAACATCTATCAGACCACGTTATGCTGACCGCACCAGGGAAAAACTCTTTGAACGCAAGGAACGTAGACATACTACTATAATCGAGGAGCCAAGGAACTAAAACCCTTATCAGAAGGATCTTATTGTTCGCATCAGACCTACAGGAAATGAAAAAGGATGGAAAAAAGCATTTGTTCAGGAACAGAGTGATGTCAGATCGTACAAAGTGAGAACTGAGGATGGACGTGTATACAGAGTTCGACGTCATCTCCGATTTAGTAGAACCATTCCGTCCTGATCATGAAAATTCAGAGCCTTGCTGACTGACCAATCACAGCGCAATTTCCATTTACAATAGGCAACAGTGAACCAAGTCCAGCTCCACCAATATCAGAACAAAATACTTACATTTACCTGTTAGCGTCCAAAGCAACCAGTCTCTTCAAGTCCGATGAAGACACGTAGTGGTCGTGTAGTTGTGAAACTAATGCGTTATCGTGATGTGTAGGGCATAGGTAGATAGTGAAAGAGGTAATGATAAATCCTCGTCTACCTATTTCTAAGTTAAGCTTAGAACTTCATGTTAATCATGACATTGTACTTGTTGAGTTAAGACTGTTTTATGTTTAGTTTATAATAATTAAAGTCTCCCTAACAGGGCAAATAGCCTTGCATTTGATTGATTGTCATTAATCAAATCTTAATTTCTCATTCTATGATGTAATGTTGCATGTTGAATGTAAACAATGTTTTGTTTAAAGTTTAATAGTTATTTGATCATGGTATTCAAACACTGTTTTAATTCAAAGACAGTAAAGTTTCGCTATTAGCAGAAATCTTAAACTTGACATTTTAAAGCTTGGATGTAACAGTATTTTGTATTAATTAATGACTACTCCCTAATCATTATAATCATTGTACAATAACACCTCCCTTTGTCACGTGGTTAATAAACTGGAAGCCATGCCAAAAGCCATGCTTGTTTTTACTTCAACTTTGCTACTCATTATTGATAAGTACTTCGTGAAACTGCAAAGTTTTTATATAAGTATCGGGGCTCCGCCATTCTGAATTAAAAACTAGTGTATTTACCATTTTAATATCTATAGTGTAACTATAACATACCGAACCATACCTTGCTAACTCGATATGTAGCGGTAATGAGTTGTTTTGGACTGATTCAATATGTAGCGGTAATGAGTTGTTTTTGGCAGGTAAAATGTAGCGGTAATGATCGGTCCGTCGTGCGTTAACATTTTAACATTTTCAGCTTCTTCTCTGCAACCACTTAACCAATTTCAACCAAATTTGGCACAAAGCATCTATGGGTGAAAGGGAACAAAAATTGTGATTTCATGATCCCTGCCCCCCTGGGGCCTGAGGGGTGGGGCCAAAACCACTAAAATTAGTGCAATTTTTAAAAATCTTCTTCTTTACTTCTGGACATTAAGCAGTCAAACAATTTGCAAGATTGTAATCAGCATTGAGTCCTCTACCAAAATTGTAAAATTCATGGCTCTGGGGTCAGGGGTTCTAGTGCTAGGGCGGGGCTAAATAAGTATATAGTGAAAATACAAGAATTCTTATAAAATCTTCTTCTCTGCTCCTGGGTATTAAATAAACCAACTAAGTACATATAGTTATGATGAGCAAGAGTGCCTCTACCCAAATTGTGAATTTAATGGCCCCAGGGTCAGGGTTTTGGTGTTAGGGTGTGGCTCTATTGATTATTTAGTGAAAATACATGAATTCTTTGAAAATCATCTTCTCTGCTCCTAGTTATTAAATAAATTAACTAAGTGTATAGTTATGATGAACAAGTGTGCCTCTTCCAAAATTGTGAATTTCATGGCCCCAGGGTCAGGGGTTAGGATGGGGCTCTATAGATTATATAGTGAAAATAGGAGACCGGTCCTTCAAATCAGACCGAATAAACCGAGGTCCTTTGTCGCAGTAAGTGCTGGAACGAAACAGACCCCTCAATGCTTGATGGCCTAAAGTGTTGAGTAGAGGACAAAATTTGCAGCTCTCCAGCTTGCTGGCGTCTTAATGAGTAAAAATTGTTGAGAGAGACATTAAAAAATCAATCAAACATCCTTATGATCTGTCTCAGTTTCAGGCCTTCTAATCACTAGAAAAGAAAGAGATTTCAAGCACATCTGTGATTTCGAGTTGACAAAAATGCTTTGGTATAAAATGACAAAGATCGTGTTATTTAACCATGTTTTCGTAATCAAAAAAGCAGGTGATCTCTAATTACATACGTTAAATCAATGGAAAGCGAACTCTTTCTGGCAAATGGTAAATCTCACGGACAAATCGGATCAAAAATACTGAGAGATGACGTTAAGGGTAAACAGGTCCGGTACGGATTTGGTCAGTCGAATTATTATTTACAATGTGAATTCAAAAATTTCGACGCAGATTGTTTTTATCCACGTCTTTTGACGTTTGATACATCCAAAGTTTTTCTCGCTGTTTCCAACATGTGGAATTTATTTTATTTATAAATTAATTTAATCAATATCTGAATCTCATAATCCACTGATTTTAATAGATATAAATAAAAACATTTTGAAATGGTTTCTAAACAATCATATCTATTGTACGTCTTTAACTTAAGACCAAAGTTATACCAATAGTTTCCCAGCATGTATAAGGTGTTTTTCTGATAGGATAATAAACATGTATACTCTAGATAAACAAGAGGCCCATGGGCCTTATAGGTCACCTGAGCATTATTCAACAACTTTCCAGTGATTGAATTTGATCCATGTTTTAAGCCAGATGCTATAGCATTTGCAATTTGGTCATCATAACTATACACTTAGCATTTCCTTAGTTTGGTTACTTTATACCCATAAGCAGGGTAGGGGAACAAAAACTGCATTTCAACTAATCAGTAATATTCAGCAATAATCAGTAGTGCTGCTACCACACATGAACCCTTGACTCTTAGGCCTAGATCCTCACATTGCACTATTTTTGGAAAGGCATCCTCGCTTTTCAAAAATATTTGATTAATACCAAGGAGCACATTTCAAACAATTCATTCATTTTCAGTATATAAGTACAGCCCCCCCCCCCCCTCTATTCTACAACTGACCCTGGGGCCTTGAAATTTACAATTCTTCAAGATTAGGGATTACTTTTAACTATATAGTAGTTCATCTGCTTAAAACCTAGGAGCAAAGAAGAAAATATTCAAAGATTTAATGTTTTTTCACTATACATGTATAATCAATACAGCCCGCCCTAACACCAGAATCCTTGACCCTGGGGCCATAAAATTCACAATTTTGGTAGAGGCACTCTTGCTAATCATAACTATGTACTAAATTGGTTTATTTAATACCCAGGAGCAGAGAAGAAGATTTTCAAAGAAATAATGCGTTTCTACTATTTACTTATTTAGCCCCGCCCCCGCCCTAGAACCCCTGACCCCAGGGCCATGAATTTCACAATTTTTGTAGAGGACACAATGCTGATTACAATCATGCAAACAGTTTGACTGCTTGATGTTCAGGAGTAAAGAAGAAGACTTTTAAAGATTGCATTAATTTTAGTGGTTTTGGCCCCACCTCTCAGGCCACAGGGGGGCAGGGATCATGAAATTCACAATTTTTGTTCCCCTTCACCCATAGATGCTTTATGCCTAATTTGGTTGAAATTGGTTCAGTGGTTGCAGAGGAGAAGCTGAAAAAGTTCAAATGTTAACGCACGACGCATAACCACGACGACGGACGAAAAGGATAGCAATAGGTCACCTGAGTTTACTCAGGTGACCTATAAAGGAAAATGTTTGGTATGTATACAGTCGCATTTCTTCTTACTTTTTTCTTTAAGATTCCTTTAAATAGATCAAACAGAATAAACTAGTTCAATAAATGAATCTATGATGTACATGTAAATGCATCATTCATGCTTTTCCTGTTTTTACCTCCCCCCCCTTCCCTTATTTATTTGAAAGGAGTTTCTTCGTTGTAAAAGGGAAACGTAAAGTTAATAAGCTAACAGATTATCTTTTGTGAGAATTTTTTTTTATAAAAATAGTTTATCGTAACTATCGGGGAATTCAGTATAATGAAGGACAACATGTGTTCTGATAATATTTTGAGAATTTACTGGATGTTCTACTTTTTCCAAACCACGAATTTCAAATAAATAATCCTGATGAAAATTGAATACGCGTTTATGAATAGGATACAAATCCAATGATTAAATGGGCCATATCTTTAGCATGTAATAGATAATTTGATTTGGGACGGTGATCATGTAGATAAAAATCATGATGTGAAAGTGAATCGCTATTTTTATACTCGATAAAAGGAGAGATAATTTATTACTGTCGGAACGTAATCCCTTCGTAATAGCGATCGTTTAAATTCTTGACAATTTTTAATATTGATTGTTAATAAACAATTTAAACCATCATTTGTTACATTTAAAGTGGGCTGTAAAGTTGATGTTTGCACTTGTTTTGATATTTGCGCCAAACAAGTGTCCGAAACTATCTAGTTTTAGGAAACAATGATATAAGATGAACATATTTCGTACTTAAAAAGCCAAGGATGTACGGTTAAAAAATAAAAGCAGTCATCATGAGTAAAGTGATTTTAAGTTTGTATTTGTTATATTGTGCCCGTGTATCAGCACAAATGATTGCGACTAACAACTTTACTTTATACCCAGACTTGGACGACAAAGTATTTACTACTTCTCTTATAGGAGAATATGATGCGGCGTCTCTGGGTGTTTGCTCAGCGATCTGTGGTCAAAGTTGTGGCTGTTTCGGATTTAACTCTCGGACCAAGAAATGCCGTCTTCATGACACGTGTTCTGAAAGTTCCATTATCGCTGTAGTCGAGGCGAATTGGAGGTACTTCCTTGCCGCTGCCTTTACAGGTGGACAATCAAAAGGTATGTTTTAAATGGGAGAACTTTTCGATGATGAAGAATTTCAGGATTTATTTGCAAATTTTATAGAAGATATGACTTTGCTAATGAAGACCACAATGTCGTTTGAATAATGATTTATCAGATTCAAGTACATTTAAATAAATAAGAGCTCAGGGTAAATTTCTCAAAAATGGAGTCACAGAAAATGTTGTATTTATAGATGATAGTTTGGCAATGGACTGTAAAGAGCTGTGTGAAAGAGGACATACAATATCCGGTTCCTACTTAATTCATCCCTATAATAATAATGTGTCCCTGGAAGTTTACTGCGATATGGAAACTGCTGATGGAGGTTGGACTGTAAGGATATTTTGAATTAATTAACTACAGTTTTTAGCATACCTGAGCTGTACGCTCAAGTGAGTTTTTCTGATCACATTTTGTCCAGCGTTCGTCTGTCTAGCTGTAAATTTTTTCACAATTTCAACTTCTTATTCGGAAAAACTGGGTAAATTTCAACAAAACTCTCCATAAAGCATCTTTGGTTAAAGAGGATCAAGTTTGTTCAAGTGAAGTGTCACGCCATCTTTCTAAAGGAGATACCTGTAATTAAAAAAAGTGAAAATTTGGAAGCATGCTTTTAATATGGTAGCATCCTCATATAGTGTAGATAAAAGTCTATTCAAATCATGATCCCCCGGGATAAAGCGGGGCCACATTGTACGATCAAAGTTTAACAATGTCAGGAAAAAATCATCTTCTTAAGATCATTACAGCTATGAATAGTCATATTTATATGGAAGCATAGTCATGTATTTTTTTTTTGTTTTAAAAGTGTTTAGATTTGAATGAAAATGCATTCCATTTTTTTTTTACATTTTCTCTGCAGTCAGCTAAAAAATTATTCAACTTCTTTAATTTACAAAAAAATGTTTATAAGGTGCTTTCTTAGATGCTTCTGAACATTGCCATTTTTAGGTGATCCAAAGGCGAACAAACGGAGCAGTTAGTTTTAATCAAGATTGGGCTGCTTATAAGATTGGGTTTGGAACAGTACAAGAATCTCACTGGATCGGTATGTGATATATTATTTTAACTTGTATATATACAGGTAAATGCAAAATGTAATTCTTTATATGCATGTATGACCGGAATACGGGATGCTTAAAACATCTAGGCAGCTTATCCTATTTCTGAATTTTAAGGGACCTGTGTTTTATGCCCCGTTTATAGATTTCTATTGCTTATAAAATTTTCAAGTCAGATCGCTGTTTGTTATCTTAACTTTTTTTATTGTGTACACCTAATGACTTTCCAGGGAATGAGGCCATCCATCAACTAACAAAAGGCAATCACTCCTCCTTATATTTGTCTATCACGCTTCAAAATGGTACAACGATGTATGAAATGTATCAAAACTTCTCTGTGTCCGACGAGACAGATAAGTTTCGTTTGTTCCTCGGGGGAGCAGCAACAGGAACTCTAGGTATGTATGGATAAAGAAAATACCTTTTTGTGGTTGAATGTTGTTAAACCTTCACCTCCAAAAATAAAAAAAAAAGAGATGTGTTTGTGAAGCACTATGCGCCCGGCGGCAACAAAGTTTAAAAAACATACTTTTAGCATATAGGTAACAGTCAAGGTCAGAAGGTCATTGATCTTGGTGTCATTTGAAAGAACTTGATTAGTGAAGTATGCATACCAAATATGATATCTCTCATGGTTCAAAAGTTATGGTAAAGATTCAAAAAAGCTATCCAGCATATGGGACACAGTCTAGGTCATAAGGTCATTGACCTTGATGTCATGTGAAAGGGCTTAATTTGTGGAGTATACATGCCAAATATTAAGTGGAGTATACATGCCCAATATCAAGTCTCTATCTTTCTTCGTTCAAAAGTCATCTATCTTTCTTCGTTCAAAAGTTATGGCGAAGGTTAAAGTTTGGCGACAAAAAAGCTATATCTAGCATATAGGTCACAGACAAGGTCAATGCCCATGGTGTCATTTAAAAGAGCTTAATTAGTGGTGTATGCATACTAAATATGAAGTCTCTATCTTTTATGGTTCAAAAGTAATGGTTAAGGTTAAAGTTTGAAGGAAAAAAATTATTTTTAGCATATACGTCACAGTCAAGGTCACAAGGTCATTGACCTTGATGTCATTTGAAAGAGCTGTATTAGTGGAGTATGCATACCAAATATGAAGTCTCTTTCATTCATGGTTCAAAAGTTATGGCGAAGGTTAAAGTTTGCAGACAAACAGATAGACAGACAAACAAATGGTATAAAAACAATATACGCCTCGGATCTTTCGATTCGGGCGCAGAAAAAAATCGAGAAACATAATAATCAATAACAGATCATTCAATGATATGTTATCATTTCGAACCTTGAAATTTGACCGTTTGTACACATGAGATCGGGCTCAAGGTTCCTGATACAGACGTATACTAAAGTTAATTTATAAAATGTTTCAATCTTTCTAAATGATGCTAAAATATTTGTCTATATGAGCAAATTAATGATGCATAATTGAAAAGTATTTTATTTTTTTATTTTTTAACTTACAAAAAATTTCAGGTATAAAGTCGAGTAAAAATGACTCAAAATTAATTGCAGAAGTCGTATATTTTCTTGAAATATTAACAGAAGGACAGAGTGGCACAGACGAACAGAAATAACAGAAACATAGGCCGAGTAACAGGCAAACAAGAAATCAAAAGCTAGAGACAAAACAGCATCATTACAATAATAAACAGAGAAATAAATTAAGGAATTTCCACCCTCCTGTGATGTCATACGTGTTTTGCAAAAATTGTAATGAATATAAATTCACACCTATCTTTTGGATGAATGCTTTTGAATAGATGTAATGCAAATAATTGAAAGAATTAGAAAACTGATTTTTTTTTAAAATTAATAATTCAATTTTAAAAAAAATTTGCCAAGGGCAGTAACTCATCATTCATTCTGGCACTTTTGATATTGTACATATATTGTAAATCTTTCCCTGATAGTGATATTCACAGTTCTAGTATTTTGTAAAATGGCAATTACTTTGGAACTTTACTTTCAGAATTATGCAATTTAACCAGTTTTTATTGCTTAACGTTAATAAAAGTCCTTAATAAAAACGATATACATGTATTGGTGACACACAGTTCATAGGCCTCGGAACCGGGGGATGCTTTTTTCTAAAGATACATATATTATAGACAATAAACATTTGAGCTTAGGTTTAGCACCCCCTCCCCCCTCGGTATTTTTTTCTCTTTCACTTACTCTCCAACTTTCGATTTGCTTCCAAAGCCAATGCAATTTTATTTGATATTATCATACTTTTTAAAACACATGATAATCTATACATTTTTTTCTATTATTAATGAAGACTATATTGAGTGATAAAAATGCAGTTTTTCTATATGAACCCATGAAATTGGTAGGATGGAATCACCTTGACAAAAGTATAGGGTTACGGATTTTGTTCTTCACCTAAACTATTTGATTTGACTCAGTAACATGCTGAAGGTCAAACCACCTCACTTGTAAAACCAACCTTTGATAAATCGGAGGAACATTCATTATAATTGTTAAAAGCCGTATCTTTTGAATCGACATTCTTTCCTAATTATGAATAAGTAAAATTCAGATAACTTTTGTTAAAAAAGCATACCGAACTAATTTCATACAGTGGTTTTTAATTAAGTCTGAAATTAAGAATCGATTTCGGATACTTTAGACAAAGATGTTGATGGTCGAGTTTCTCGGTTGAGTTGATTTTCAGCAATAACTCTTCAATTTAGATGTTTATATCAATAGCGAATCGCAAATTTGCATCAAGTTATGTCATTCAATGTCGATTATGCGCTCAGTCTATACAACATTGTGCATATAGACTGATTTAATTTTTAAAAAAATCGATAGCACTCAATCGTTCAATAATGCATGCTAACTCTTGGATAATTTCTGAAGTAGCCATCACATATTGAATTTGAAAAACCAGAAGTCTCTGTCGGGACTGAAGCTCAACTTGTTTGTACTTATAACAAAAGAAGAGAAAATTACTTAAGGAGTTGGGAATTGAATTTTACAACAGCAATAAATAGAATAATGATCCTTGATTTAGTCTCTTTATGTTCTTAGTGTAGTCTACTTGTATGCCACATTATATTACTAGAAAACTGACTAGTCAGCAAGGGCCCCGCTGAGGGGTAGAAATATAAGGGTGCAGTTCATTGAATGAGAGTTTTACTTGATTACATTTAAAAAAAAAATCTATGAAGATTATTTTTAAATTTTCAAGATAATTCCTGAATGTCATAAAAACATGTAAATAGTAACCTTGTATTTACATAAAACAGGAAAAACTAAATTAAATGTGTATTTAAAAAAATAAGCAGGTGTTATATAAAATGCATGCCTTCAGTGAATGCAAATGTCACCCAGGGTTGACCTTAACTTCAAAACAAACATCAGTTACAGGCAAAGGTGTGCATTAATCCTCATGTGACAGATAAAATAAAATTTTCTGCAACAGGTTAGATAATTAATCCAAAGGGATTAATTATACTGCTCTCTCATCCTTTTCTTCAAAATTTAAAATAAGAAATTTTTTTAGCTCTGACAGAACAGGGTTATTATCTGATTACCTGTTAAAATTAACAGCATGAAGGCAGCAAACCAAAAAGAAAAAAAAATAATTAAAAAAAATAAAACAGTAATAATAAAAATGATATCTTAATATATATCTTGAATTTCGAATTCATTCAAATTATCAAAAATCAATGTGTACAGTATTTTAACCAAAATAAAGTATGAACATTATCTTAAATCCATATTTTAGAGAATGTACAAATAATTCAAAGTTGACCTTAACTTCAAAACAAAGTTCATTTTCAGACAGAGGTGTACAGTTATTAATCTCAATGTGACAGATAAAGATAATGCTTAGGATTTTCTGGAAAGTTAATTTATCCCAAAGGACAAATTGCCCAGCCTTCCCAGTGTACAACGATAACATTCTCAGCAGTTATCTCTCTTTGCCCATTCATTCTTATGCATAGTTAAGGAATCTACCCCACCACCCCAGCTCCGAACCAGAAGACATAGAGAACCAAACTTAGCATCAAAATATGTAATTCTGCCTACTAAACTACCATACCAAATTTGAACTTGATTGGGCAACCATAAAAAAAAAGTTATTAGAAAAAAAAAGAAAATTTGTGGACGGAAGAATGACGGACAGACAGACAGACAGACGGACAGACAGAGTGATTACTTAAACAATAAAATGCTTTCTTTGTTTGTTATTACTGGAATGAACGGAAGCAGCTGTTGCAGAAAAAATACATAACCCGCTTACGCGGGTTATGTAATTTTTTTCTGCAATAGCTGCGACCGTTCATTCCAGTAATAACAAAGAAAGACATTTTATTGTTTATATTTATATCTGTTTAAATTGTCATTTTAAGTAGGATTAAAAATATTAATTATTGTGTTAATGATGCGAACGTCTTTGTACGTTTCATTGATGGAACGGCCACTGATCAAGAAATCTGTACAGGTGATATGCCTAATGTAGTTCATGCAGTGATGAACGCAATGGGTTTTCTTAAGAAATAAAGAAGAAAATATTCAGTGGATGTAAATATTATAGGGCACCCGCAAATCCTTGCGGGGTCCTAATAATCAGACTAAAACTGTATTTGGAGTAGCATTTTGAGAATATTTAACAGAAATTTCTTTAGTAATCAAGGCAATAATGTGCATCGAAGTCAAAAAACCGATATGCAGAATTGTGTTTCATAGAGTAGTCTACTTCTGTGCCAAGTCATATTGAAATCAGACCAAAACTGTAGGAGACGTAGCAACACCGTTCATCGAAATCAAAAACCGATATATAGAATTATGTACCTTAGTGTAGTCTACATATGTGCCAAGTTGTATTGAAATCAGACCAAAACTGAAGGAGGAGTGGCATTTTGAAAGCATTTCACAGAAATTTCTATTGTCAGCAACACTTTTCATCGAAACCAAGAACAGATAAAGAGAATTATGTATCTTCCTATAGTCTACTTGTTTGCTAAGTTATATTGAAATCAGACGATAGGTATAGAAGGAGTAGAATTTTTAAGCATTTCACAGAAATTTCTCTCTTTTTAGTAACCACGGCCTGCGGCCTTCCTTGGATGTGGATTTCCAGTTTATCGAAATCAAAAAATTGCACAGAATTACTTGTCTTAGTTTAGTCTACTTGTGTGCCAAGTTATATTGAATTCAGACTAAATCTGTAGGAGGAGAAGCATTTTGAAAACATTTTATAAAATTTCTTTTATTTAGTAACCATGGCAACACCGTTCATCGAAATCAAAAACCGATGCACAGAATTATGTATCTTAGTATAGTTTACTTCTGTGCCAAGTTATATTTAAATCAGACGAAAACTGTAGGAGGAATAGCATTTTGAAAGCATTTCACAGAAATTTTTATTTTGAGTAACCAGTGCAACACCGTATATCGTAGGAAAAAACCGACGCACAGAATTATGTATCTTAGAATAGTCTACTCGTGTGATAAATTATGTTAAGATCAGACCAAAACTGTTGGAGTAGCATTTTGAAACTTTGTTTACAGACAGACAGACGGACGGACGCATTACTATCGCATAAGCTGTTCTGGTCTCTGACCAGTGAGTAAAGCTAAAAATTCGGAAACATGGAGAAAATTCGGATAAGCCAATATCTATTGTAGTTAAATTATTTATGTCAATTTTTTAATCATCTTATAGGCCCTTTGTGGTAATATCTTTCTATGCAAAACGAATTGGTATGATTGGCATCAGTACTTTTTCATTCGTAATATCCATGGAAAAGGTGTAACGTGCAGGACCCGAGCGATCTACTTGAGCTCGTACTTGGTTATGCCAAGTCTTATAAGGACAATAGTAAATGCAAAATATACAAATCAGCAAATGCTTTATATACAAATATAGAGGACACTTGCCTATAGTGTGTAATTTAAATAGGGGTGGGACGATATACCGATACATACCGATATTTTCCTCTTAGATATGGTTTACGATACTAGCCTAGGTCACGCAAGTCGTTTGACCCCCCACTCAAACGCCTTGGAGCATACTGTAGATAAAATTTTCACCACGGGGCGGCGCTGTTAAAGAACGTTAACTCTAAATTTTTATGGCGACTCCGCTGAAAGTCATTACATTTAAAAAGTAAATAAGCATATACTGTCAAACATTCTATACATTTCTTCTTTTTTTTTTAATTCAGCAAGTGATTAGAAAGTGTGTACTCTAACATTTAGACTGATTATTATTTCATCTGCAAACTCCTACACCTGCATACGCACTGTGTGTACCAGGGTATCGTTTCACAAAAGCATCGTGTTGTGTACGTAAGTTAGCTAAATTTCGGCGTTTCACGAAAGCGTCTTAACTCACGTTGCATCGTACGTTACGACGTAACTCTACGTCACCTTGGAGGTGACGTAAAATTACGTCCTAACGTTAATTTCCAAAGATGGCAGCGTTCATGAGAGTCACAGACGAACAGGTGCGTCGAAATTTACGCAGACAACGCGTGTTCCGGGACAGACAGAATCCACTTGATGCATATGACGACATCGATATTATCCATCGTTACCGGTTGGACAGAATGACCATCATTAGTATCATTGACATAGTTCAAGATCGTCTAGAGAGACCAACAAAAAGATCTGCGAGTCTTCCAGCCTCTTTGCAAGTGTTTGCGACTTTGAGATTCCTTGCTTCTGGCTCCCAGCAGAGAGTGATTGGAGACACTCTGGGAATATCCAAGGCATCTGTTTGCAGGTATTTTTATGCAAGTTTTATCCAAATTTCAATAGGCCTTTTTCAAAAAATGTTAAATTGTCCTCTCCCAACTCTTGGTAAAAAAAATTGGAAGAGAAAGACCTATAAAGGCAAAAAAGAAAAGAAAATTGAAATACAGCTGTTGAAGGGATGAGAAGAAAATTGTAATGAAACAAAAGAATCGTTTCCTGAAAAGGCTTGAAGATTTAAAAAAAAACTAATTTGGTTCATTTTTTCATCCGTCGGTAGAGAGAGGGTAAACTTTAAAATGCCCTTATGATAAATTTATACAACATAAAATTTTGATTAGGTCTATAGACGATGTTATCAATATCTTGTGTCGGACAATGACCAACATCAAGTTTCCGACTGGTGATGCCGAGACAACAAGGACGAAGGTTGGTTTTCATGCAATTGCTGGTTTCCCTAATGTCCTTGGCGCCATCGACGGGACTCACATACCCATCACGGCACCTACAACAGATGAACATTTGTACGTGTGCAGAAAGGGATATCATTCCATCAACGTCCAGGCCATAGCTGATTGTGATATGTAGTAAATATGTTAAACGTGTAAAAAAAAAAACTTTATGAAAAACTATTCGGCAAAGTTTGGAAAGAAGCATCACACTTACATAACACTACTAGTATTGCGCACATCCAGGTAGCATCGTTTTTGAAAGTGGGGAGGGGGGGGGGCAGCCAGAGAATTTTTTTTCCTTACCAGAAAAGTTTACTTGTGTAAGCAAAAAAAAGGGAAAGTTGCCCTAAGTTGAAAATCCTATTTCGTGCAGGGTTGGGGGTGGGGGGTGAAGCCAACTTTTTTCAATGCATTGCAGTACCAATTTTTTGACTTAAAATATTACATTTTTCTTATTCTATAAAAAGTAGGGGGGGGAACCAGCCTTTCAATGAAAATTTACTACAGTATAAGTAATGTTGGGAAAAAATGCCCCCCCCCCTCCCTGTTGCTACGTGCCTGACGCAAGTGAATTCTTGAGAGTTTTGAATAAGTTCTGTTTGATGACAGTATCTGGAAGTGCCAAATTTAGTATCTAAAAGAAATAATTCAATTCATATGTTTACATTTTCGATATTTCTCTCTGTATTTCTCTCTGTCTCTCTCTCTCTCTCTCATAAAAATTTTATTTACTTTCAGAATAAGTGGTTGTATTTGAAGAATAACTGTCTTATTTTTCTATTTTATGATGTGATCAATCGATTAATTGGTTTGCGTGTTAATTTGCATATACGCCGAAGGCATAAAATTATCACGCAAGCCAATGAATCGATTGATCATCATCATGAAATCAGAAAATCTGACAGTTATTCCCAATTTACATGGTGTTGATTCTGTCAATTCAAAATCCCGACCCACTTCTTGGGGTGATATTTTTTTTTTACCTCTCCTGGGGGGGGATGCTGTTTATTCTAATTGGGGGTCAACAACAGATATACGAGTTTTAGGTCAGAGAAAAAGAAACTTCTAAAATTCAATATAAATATTATTGATAACCTTTAGTAAAATACTTCATTGATTTTTTCCCCTAATACGAGTTATTTATTTCCATTTAGCACAAATTACTAAGTATTTATCATGTTAATTCATGAAAATTTTTTTCTTGCAAAATTGTTTGCAAGAAAAAAACGAGAAGGAGGAAACTCAAAAACTTTCTAAAAATATAGCCCCCCCCCCAAGATTCGCTTAAACCGTGTTTTACTGTATATTGAAAATTTCCCCCCGGGTCAACCGTTTACACTGCGCATTTTAGAGTAACAAAAGTGGATTGAAAATGAATTTCAAATAAGAAATTTCAATTTATTTCCATACATATTTTCTTCAGAATAGTATGAACTGGTAAATCGCGCCTTTTCGGTTCCTAACGGACTTGATTACATGTACATGAATATTTTATGATTATCCACATTAGCATAAATTATATGCTAATTAACACTGATATTCAACATTTTTTCAATTAGGACATGGTCCTTGTCGAAAGTCTCTTAAAGAAATATTGGCATTTCAATATCATTTTCAAGCCAGACGTTCATACATGTAGTCAGGAATGGATTGGCCTTTCCTCTCTTTAATTCTAAATTCCTTGTATTCTAAAACTTTTAATTAACAAATGTATTTAGGTGTTTATTTTTGAAATGGACCACCATCCACAATTTTTTGTTGCAAATAATATGATACCCCCCCCCCCGTTTTTCGGCTTGTCAAAATAATTTCTTTTCTTTTTAGCCTACCATTTATTATCTCTGTGTTTACTTTTAAAGCTAAAAATTGCGATTAATTACAATTCCACTGATACCATTATTATTCAAAGAAAATTACATCCGATAAGCCAATATCAAATATTATATTTTTAGTTAAATTATTTATGTCAATTTTTTAATCATCTTATAGGCCCTTTGTGGTAATATCTTTCGTTATGTGCAAAACGAATTGGTATGATTGGCATCAGTAATGAAATATTTAAAACGAATGGATAGATTTTATATTAATATATTGAATTATTAAACAAAGCAAAAATGTTTAAATTATAAAATGCTGTATACACACAAGGAACAAATGTTTTTCCAGCACTCGTTCTTCTTCTGATTGGTGTTAACGTCCTTATGTGGCGCAAACAGTATATCCTTCTGTTTCTCCACCTCCTCTACCAAGGCCTCTACTTCCTTCGCGGTAAAATTCTTCTTTCTCTCCTTTTTAATTTTGAGCTGCCATATTTGTTTTACTTGGTTATGCCAAGTCTTATAAGGACAATAATAAATGCAAAATATACAAATCAGCAAATGCTTTATATACAAATATAGCATCAAGGACACTTGCCTATAGTGTGTAATTTAAATAGGGGTGGGCCAAAACTCTGCTGTCGAATATACCAGGCTTTATACATACCGATATTTTCCTCTTAGATACGGTTTACGATACAAGCAATTAAATATCGGTACGAAACGATACGGGAACGACCTATTCAAAATTGAAAATGAAAGTATCTGTTTTCGGAAAATGGGGGCTTATACGAAGCGAACAGACGATGTTGGTTATTGCAAACACACTTTAGAACTAATAAGTTGTTGGTTAGGGGTAAAAAGTTTTTACTTTTAAGCAGCCTCGGAGACCTGGACAAGGAAATTTCAGTATGTAATGCGGGCTATATACAGAAAGTATCGTTTCCAGAACAATTAGATATTTTTGATTGTTAGTCCATCTCGTACTTTTTTTGTAATCAGAGCTTTGCTACAGACTTTAAGCAATTAATGATAATGTAGATGTGATGCTTTTAAAATGAATTTCAGTCAGTGTTCTCTGATGAACTACACAACTGTTTGTAAACAACTACTCAAAAGTAATTTGGTAATAATAATATGTACATGTATTGTTGTTTTTGTCAAGTTTTAGTCAATGAAATTGATGAACTTCAAAAATTAATTTCAAAGCACACATAATCTGATATAGAATAATTTGTTGATTTAATGTCAAGACAAAAAAAAAAAAAGAAAAATTTTAAAAATGCTAATCCTTTTGAATAGTTTTATAATTTAGCTTAATATCGAGATACGTATCGTATCGTGCTAATGTATCGAGATAAGTATCGTATCGCAAGATTTGTATATTGTCCCACCCCTAAATTTAAACAATATATTTACAGTACAGATATTCCTGCCACTAAGCTATAGATACTGACTATACCCGACTCCACTTGGCTATAGATACGACGACTGACTATACCCACTTGGCAATACTTTAGAAAGTCAATACCAAACGCCCCAAGGTATTTCTAGCCACTTGGCAACACTACAGCCAATTGGCTTTTACAATCTAATCGCCAACTTTTTTTAGTCACTTGGCTAAACCCGTCACTTGGTAATGCTATATCCGTCAACTGGCTATATATGTTCACCTATTGTCAATATAATCAATAGCTTCTTCACTAATTAATTTAACACTTGAGATTATTACTAACTTACAAATGTCGCTGACCAAGCTTCGTTCACCAGCAATTTGGTTATAAACGTTCGACCCCGAAGCCACTGACCATTTGCTTACTTATATGATCTTTATGTTGATAAATTTCAGTGACTTTCTGGCAACATTTTTCTGAGCATACTTTGCTCGCCTTAACTAAACAATTATTTTTAGTGCATGTTTATTTATATAACATTCTTTGTTGTAAAGTCATTTAATCAAATAACCTGTTAATTACATTATTTACAGCTATTTCTTAATTATACAATATAACACAAGGGATATAACTCCCAACCGTTTCAAAGGTATTGACCTGGCCTTGCCTCGAATATCAAGCGGTCAATCTTAATCTCACTGATACCATTACTTTGTGATATTGTTTTCATCAATTTTTTAATACAAGAAATAAAATATGAGAATAATCCTACCTTATGAGGGGTTATCAAAAAGTTTGTAGACTGGCGCTATAAAATTAATACTGTTCAAGGTACTTCATTGAAATTTGAAGTATAAGTAAATATACATTTTCCCTATATACTATGAAGATTTTACATTTAAATTATTATTTTTAAAACATTTACATTTTAACATATGCGATGTTTTGTCTAGTCGGTGCAACCTCAAAATGTGACAATTTCTGATCTTAAAGTGTAAAAAATAAATTGAAAAATAATGACTATATCACATCAAACTTTCCCGTAATTTTTACACTTTGACTTTATACAACTGTGCAGTAATATTTTAAATTTTCACGGCATTTTGTGCATTCTGTGGAATTCAGTAACCATTTTTATTGAGTTTGGTCAAAATTGTACGAGAGTGAAAAATGACGCCGGAGGGGAAAGTTTTTCACGGAATGTTATCAAGTTTTGTGTTCAACTTGGTAAATATCCCAAAAGAGACCATGGAGATGTTTGATCTGGTAGGGGAAAGTAAAAATGTGTCGAGATCACTTGTCTTTAAGTCGCATAAACGATTTCGAGACGGCAGAGACTCATGTGAAGACGATTTGTGAGTCGGATGCCCAAAACTTGTCACGACTGAAGATAACGTTCATCGAGTAAGGGAAATCTTAAACTCGGATAGACGGAATAAATAAACGCAGTTGAGTGAAGATCTATTTATCTCGTGTGGATCCATTTACAACATTGCACACAAAGATTTGAAAATGTCCCGGGTGTGTGCAAGATGGGTGCCAAGACTCTTAAAAGATTTTGAAAAAGTCAGAAGAGTTGGAGAATCAAAAAAGTTTCTGTGCCGATTTCGCAATGATCAACAAAATTTTTGGACCGAATCATAACTGTAGACAAAATCCAATTGGATATCCAATTTTGACCCGGAAAGTAAACAAATGTCAATGCAGTGGATTGGGTCTAATTCACCCCCTCCCAAAACGGCCAGAGTCTGTCAATTTTGTGAAAAGCACATGTTATAATAATATTTTTTGACACACGTTGAGTTATTTTAAGTCATGTTGTGCCTAAAGGGGGATCAGTAAATGCAAAATATTACTCAAAGGTTAGATATAACTATTATTTCATTAAAAGAAATATTAAGTACTGTAGGCCAAACTTTGATTTAATCCACACATACCCAATAAAAGTAATAAGTAATACAATTAATTTAAATATTGATTATGCAATTATAAAAACGAACGAATATTTTGATCATTAAAAATACATTTTTAAATATTATCGCGCAACTGCACTGCTGATTTTATATTTCTAGGTTTTATCAAAGAATTTAGGCAATGCCCTTAGGAAAAAGAGGCCTGAATATTACATAAATCGGGAAAACATTCTTCTACATCATGACAATGCTCCATCTCACATATCAGTAGTGACTGTACTTACAATCAACTTACAGCTAGGAGCCGAAATTCTGCCCCACCCACCGTACTCACCGGATCTCGCACCTTGCGCTCTTTTCAAGACTGAGAGGCGATTTACGAGGGAGAAAATTTCATCACAGGGCTGAAGTCAGCAGTAAATTAGAAACTTGGATCTTATCAACAGGACTAATATCAGTCCATGTTTCACTCCTGGATACATCGCCATGAAGAGTGTTTGTGTTTTGTCGCAGTTGGAGAGTACTCATGACGTGGTGACGTTGCACGACGTCAAAATACTGAACCGGCAACAGCGTCGGGTTACCGCAACTTGTATTATTTATTTTACGATAAAATTATTGCTTTGCAAAGTACAGAGTTGAAATTTTCAGAATAACTTCAACTTTTGTATATATTCAAGTCGACAATAAATTTCTATAACCCAGCTAACATAGTATTTTTTTTATAGCGCCAGTCCTTGAACTTTTTGATAACCCCTCGTAAATCATTGTTTACGCTTTTGACGTTTTAGTTTTAACTGCAGAGATGTGTCTATATCGGGTAGGAAATGACTCATTTGTGAGGTTAGATGTAGAAATAAGTTGCATTACAAACAGAATATATGGTTACTGCCTCAATATATGAATTTGGGCTTGGGTCGATAATGGAAGCATCATTTGAATAAGGTCGCTTTTCACGTAAAATGCCTCATTTGCCGGCGACAGGGCCGTTTAAATGTCGATAACATTTTTTTATGATTAAGTTATAGAAGAATCGTCCATTTACTTATTTCTCGCGGCTCAATAGTTAGACCTGCGAAATAAAGTTGTAGAAAGGTAAGCAAAGTTGCGACATCAGCTGGTGTCCCTGAAATCCCACTTTCCAGTGCTGCCTCTTCTCTGACCCTCCCCAGTACAGGTCACACTTTAAAAAATGGGTTCGAGTCAAAGGAATCTTGGATTATGTACAGACCAGTAGAGCTACGGTCTCGTCAGAGACTTCTTGTACCATTTTTGAAAAAGGGTCTAGAGCACGTGTGCTTTTCGTGCCACTTTTTTCTTTTCTATTTTTTAAAAAACATTTTCTTAGAGTGGTGTAGTTACTCTTTGTTTCCTTTAAACTACAACACATTCCTTTATAGGATACAACAGGCACGTAGCAACATGGGGATCTGCCCCCGTTTTTTCCAGACATAACCTTCACTATTGAAAATGTTCATTAAAGGGCCGGTTGCCCTCCCCCATCCCCCGTTTTGCTACTGTATTCAGAAATATGGGAATTGTAGCATTTTTAGCAAAAAGTGGCACTAAAAGAAGTAGGTATTGAAAAAAAGGTTTTCCTCTACAACCCCAACCCCTACCCCCGAAATAGGATTTTCGAGTTTGGACAATTGATCTTTTTCTTTGCTTGGCAACCTTTTCAGGAAAGTAATTTTTTTTTTCTGGCTGCCCCCTTCCCTAGGGTGCTTCGATGCTACGTCACTGCACAAATGTTCCTCTTCAAAATAAATCCTTTTCAGCTACTTTACATTTTCATGTTCGTCGCTTAAGTAGGTCTCAATGTTACCTAATTAGCACATGAGTGCAGATTATGTTGGCAAAGCCACACGACTTATTGAAGCCCTATTATAGTGTAATATTTATACTTTATTACAGGAGACAGCATGTTGAATACTGGGTCCAGTACTAAGGACCTGTCTGGTATGGCGTTCAGTACACGTGACCAGGACGGCGACTTAAGCGCGGGAAACTGCGCAGACTACAACAAAGGAGGGTGGTGGTATAACAGTTGTCATAACGCCTTCCTCAATGGACCGTGGAACCCAGATACGTGGAACAGACCGTGGTATCCAACCATCCGTAACGGCGCAAATATCGCGGAAACCAGAATGATGATTAGACGACGTTAACATTTCCCCAAGTGTAACACCTGGAACAGTCACTGGTATCCAACGATCCGTAACTGCTCAAATATCGCGTAAACGAAAATGATGATAAGACGACGTTAACATTTCCCAAGTCTATATGTTATTAAGCACAAGGTGCGGCAGTGGTTTTTAGAGAATTATAGTACCCGTAATTTCTTTTCATTTTTAGCTCACCTGAGCCGAAGGCTCAAGTGAGCTTTTATGATCACATTTTGTCCGGCGTCCGTCTGTCTGTCTGTCTGTCCGTCTGTCTGTAAACTTTTCACATTTTCGACTTCTTCTCAAGAACCACTGGGCCAATTTCAACCAAACTTGCCACAATGTATCCTTGGGTGAAGAAGATTCAAGTTTGTTCATATGAAGGGCCACGCCCTCATTCAAGGGGAGATAATTGGGAATTAATGAAAATTTAGTGGCATGTTTTAAAAATCTGCTTCTTAAGAACCACTCTGCCAATAAAGATGAAACTTATACGGAAACATCCTCAGGTAGTGTAGATTCAAATTAGTTCAAATCATGACCCCCAGGGGTAGGGCGGGGCCACAATGGCCGACCAAAGTTTTACATAGAAATATGTAGGAATATTCTTTAAAAATCTTCTTTTCAAGAATAACAAAGCCATAATTGATCATAATTATATGGAAGCATCCTCAGGTAGTGTAGATTCAAATTTGTTCAAATCATGACCCCAGGGGGTAGGGCGGGGCCACAATGGCCGACCAAAGATTTACATAGAAATATATAGGAATATTCTTTAAAAATCTTCTCAAGAATAGCAATGCCCTGATTGGTCATGGAACTACTTTTGGATTTAAACTTTTCAATATTTAACCAATTCTACTTTTTCCTAGCCGCAGTGCTCAGGTGAGCGATGTGGCCCATGGGCCTCTTGTTTTATATTTGCAATACAGTCTTTCTTGTTTGATATCAGTAAACAGTTCTGCATTATAAAATGTG